TGTATGGGGTGCTGATCGGTCCCCCCCCCCCCCCCCCGGTCTCCCCTACATCTCTCTCTTGGCCTTTTATCACTCTAGCAAAGGCAGAGGTCATTCTGCTGCCGCTCACCAGTCAATGACACATTCCAGTGTTTCAAGACTGGGTAGAAATGTAGCACAAGCTGCCTGTACACATCTCAGCTCTTACAGACATATGAGCCTGTATGGTCATATAGCATGCACTGCAGGCCAGTATTATGTGGGCAGCTTATTGCGTAAAACTCATCCGCCCATGTGTGCGTGAGGTCTATAGGAGAGCTCAGACAAAATGCGGAAAACGGGGAGCACAGTACATCACACAAGGCTCCGAAAGCCACATGGCTTTTAGACCTCGTTCATAAAGGCAGCAAGAACAGGCAATTCATCTGTGGGTTTTAAAGATCTCTGACTGCTTACAGTAGCAATGTTCTGTAGTAAAGTTTAAATGGACAATTGACAGTGTAAAATTGTGTAGCATTTGCGTCCCTTTGCGTCGCAACAAAATTGATCCTGCATAAGGCCCTTGGTAGGTGGTACCGCTTGTCATCCGTCTTCATTCATGTCAATGGAAGAGCCCCTTTAGTGTTTGTGGTGCAGTTAAATGCGGTTGAAAAATGTTTACAGGGTGATAGGAGAAAGCCTCAGGAGCGACTGAGTATCCCAGGTAACCTAAATTCATGGTACGTGATGTGAAAGTGCCCCTTTGGAAAACCTCTACGAGGCAATCAGATGCACCCACTACCAACATAGTAAACTCCCCATTATCCGGCATCCACGGCGATTGGTAGATTCCGGATAAATGTATTTTCTGGTTGCTTGAGAATTACTATTAAAAATAGGTCTATCTAATACCATACCCCATACTATACCATAACATACCAGGATAATACATGCCGCAGATCAGCAGAACAGTGAATACACAGGGGATTTTTTTTTCGGGTTAGATGAGAGTTCTGGTTAGTTAAATACCAGATAACAGAGAGTTTACTGTGCTGTCTTCTTCTTCTGCTGGCCAGTTTGATCCCAAATCATACCTACATGCCTATGTTTGGTAAATTACATTTACCTAATATAGCTATGTGGTCATATAAGATACATTATGTCAAATAAACATTCCACCCCTTTATTTGCGAGGCCGGTGTTCTATCGAAAGTTCCAACTTGTCGACCACTCCAACTGGTGACGTCACATCCGGTGACTGCCAGTAGATCTACAGCAGATGGTGCTAGTGCACATGCCCAGGAAATCCTTGTCGAACTGTCTAACTATTGCCACAGCGCCTGATCGGCTATCCACTTCTATAACCTACTACAGTTATATTTGTCCTAGGTTATAGAAGCCGATGAGCCGATAGCCGCGCAGGCGCAGTGGCTATTGCCTCATCGGATTCTGTAACCTTGTGAAAGGTTAGATTATGTTACAGCGCCTGCACGGCCACATGATTCTTTCTACAACCACAGCTGCCACTGCACATGCGCGGCTAGCGGCTTCTATAACCCAGGACAAAAAAGTTTGTCCTAGTTTATAGAATCCGATGAGCCGCTAGCCGCGCAGGCGCAGTGGCAATAGTTAGACAGTTAAACAAGGATTTTCTGCTCATGGCAGTCACTGGATGTGACGTGCCAGTCAGAGAGCTCGACAAGTCGGAGCTTTCGATAGAACACCGGGAATGTCCAACCGACATCTGATTGGGTGGAAGTGCCCACGGCACTTCCTTGTTCGGACCGCGTTTGGTCCAAACCTGAGCTGATTAATAGTTAGCAAGTAGTAAACAAAGGACAGAAAATATACAAGGCCTTAGAGTTATATTCTGTTGCTATGGATAAAATTGGTAGCTATGATATAACTTTGATATGTAAATAGCATCTGTCTTCAGAAAAAAAAACAGACTACGAGGAGCTTTATGTTAAGTCTGATGAAAATCATAATACAGCCATAAAAAGCCTGCGATGGATCGTCCGAAGAATGAATACCTGAAGGTCACTAGCACATTGATTACTACAACCCCCAGGGTTATTCATGAGAACATAGCCATTAGTAGGACCAGCTGGAAGCAGTAGAAAAGATACCGTATCTCCATATCAGCCCGCTTTTACTACCTTCTGAGCTTAGAGGTCACACAAATGGTTCAGAGGACAATGAGGAGCTTTTGGACAAGTCTTTCTTAAACTTGTAAGATTGGATGTGATTTACTAGAACCTGCCAGAAAATAATGCTCTAAGAATAGATAGAGGCCTTTGTGTGTGTGTGTAAGAATGATTGCGCTAGCTTGAAGAGAAGACCCCTCTCCCACTTCTTTTCCCTGTGTCCCTCACCTTACTGTAGCTCCTCTTTCATTTCCCTATTTGTAAATAGAGTTTATGTACAGGTGAAACTCGAATAATTAGAATATCGTGCAAAAGTAATTGCAGTAAGTCCTGCAAAAGGGGCCCAAACCAAGTACTGAGTACATATGCATGCTTGTACTTTTCAGAGGTCCGATATTGTTCTATGTACAATCCTTGTTTTATTGATTGCATGTAATAATCTACTTTTTTGAGGTTGTGGATTTGGGGTTCTTGGGGTTTTCATGAGCTGTAAGCCATAATCATCACAATTAGACATGTGCGATTCGTTTCGTTCCGAATCGAAATTCGGACGAATTTTCGTAAATTCGGACATTCGGATGTATCCGAATTCCGAATTACAGACATAACGAATGCAAACGAATCTGAATTTCCATTTCCGAAATTCGGTAGCGTTAGTACGAACGTTCGTTTCGTTTTCTGTTCTTATTCGTTTCTTATTCGTTTCGTTCGTTCGTTTGCAGCAAAAGTGACATTTGAGGGGGAAAAATATTTTTCTCCTTCTCTAATGTCACTTTGCTCCAACGAACGAAACGAATAAGAAACGAATAAGAAACGAATAAGAACAGAACACGAAACGAACGTTCGTAATAACTGTACCGAATTTTGTCCGAATCCGAATTCCGAATCCGAATTGACTTTCACACCCGAATCCTGAAAAACGAAATAACACAAATCCGAATTTAAAACGAAACGAAACTAAACAAATTTTTTGGCAGTGCACATGTCTAATCACAATTATGACAAATCACGGCTTGAATTATCTTGCTTTGCATGTAATGAGTCTATCTCATATATTAGTTTCACCTTTTAAGTTGCCTTAGTGAAATAAATGAACTTTGCATGATATTCGAATTATTCGAGTTTCACCTGTATATTCCTTTTTGTAAATAAACCAGACTCTAACTTTGAGATCTAGTTCTCCTATTTCTGGGCAAGTCTCAATTTGAAGGTCCCTCTGTAGACAACTGTCCTTTTTGTTTTCTCACTTACCTATTCTGTGATGTTTGGGTGGCACCATCACTTGGCATCCCGATCTTTGGCCTCCCGCAATGCTGGGTAGAGAAGTCCCTCCTACTT